CGGGCTTCTGGGGGTGGAAGCTCTCCTGCAGCCCCCCAATTGTCCCCTCTCCCCAGATGGCAGCCTGCGGCAAGTGCAGCCGGGCTGATGGCCGAGTGCTGTGATGTGCCCAGTGTGGGCACTCCGGGCACTCCAAGCCAGGACTGGTTTTCAAGCGGGGCACCCCTGAGAACTGTGTGTCCGGGGTGGGGGTCGGGTCCCTTTAAGCGCAGCCCTCGGCTAGCCTGAGACAGCATCTCCACGCTCTAAGTCCTCCTCTGATGCCCTGCAGGTAATGCTTCCGGCCATCCTTAAGCCCGGTTCAGGGTCCACTTAATGTGGACATGCTAGTTCGAATTAGCAAAACGCTAATTTGAACTAGTTTTTAGTTCTAGACGCGTTAGTTCGAATTAGCTTAGTTCGAATTAACTAATTCGAACTAAGTTAGTTCGAACTAACTCTGTAGTGTAGCCATACCCCTAGTGAGGAGGCTTTAAACAAGGTTCAATGAGGACCGATGTCCAAAGCCCACAGGTAAGTGAAGAACATGGAAAGCTGGGAGATGAGTCAGAAATGGAAGAAATGGAAGGGAGCATGGGTTATAATAGCAGGGATTAAAAAGAAACAAGACAAAATTGAAAGTGGAGGAGGGGAATCAAATCAGTATGGGTATGTCTACACTGCCACCCTAGTTCGAACTAGGGAGGCTAATGTAGGTATTCGAACTTGCAAATGAAGCCCGGGATTTAAATATCCTGGGCTTCATTTGCATGTTCCCGGGCGCTGCCATTTTTAAATGCCCCGTAATTTGAACTACATGCCTGCGGCTACACGCGGCATGAAGTAGGTAGTTTGAATTAAAGCCCCTAATTCGAACTACCATTACTCCTCCTGCAATGAGCAAGATGGTCGATGACCTGTGCCCCACCCCCCAAAATCTTGTGCAACTTGTTACTCAGTGGGGGTCCGGTGCACGCCCACAGATGCTGCTGGTGACCTTTTGACATGGCCAAAGTGGTTCTGGGGCCAAGGTCTTACATAAGGGCATCCCGCCAGTGTACATGCTTTCTTGAGCAAGAGCTTGGCATTCTTGCACTCCACTTCTGGCCAGGTGTTCTTGTGCAAGAAGCCGCCAGTGTAAACATATCCTGAGTGCTGGGTTAAGTAGTGGGGGACCCTGAAGCTATATTGCTGAGCTGCTGGCGGAACAAAGCAGTTTGCGAGATGGCTGGAATGGCTCATGGGACGGCCGGTGGAGTGGAATGGAGTGGATTGCATTAAAGGCTGCAGCAGAACCCTATGGAGAGGGAGGAGGGGGGCTGTCAGCCTCAGACCATGTAAGGTGCCCCTTATCAGACGCCCACCCCCTTTTCTACCCAGGTTGGGAGGTAAAACTCTGCAGATTAACTCTTGAACTCTGGGGCAGCACTGACTAGGGACAGAGACTTTTGGGATGTTGTACTTTTGGGGACTTTGAGTGATTCTTGGGTGGGATGGGTCTTTGCTCATGTTTGGTCTATGAATCCGAGTTGTGGTGTTTTCCCAATTTAATGCTGAGGTCAGTTACCTCATGTTATTAAAGATTTGCTGCTCTACTGAGGCTCTGTGCTTGTGAGAGGGGAAGAATTGCCTCTTTGAGGCGCCCAGGGGTGTATGTAAGATTTCCCAGGTCACTGGGTGGGGGCTTGAGCCGGTGTTGCATTATGTGTTGGGAGGGGACCCCTAGGTACAGAACCCGGCCCTTGCTGCTTTAACCCCTGGCAGAAGGGTTACAATAGTAAGGGTGTTTCTAAACTACATCCCTTTTTCAATTAAGGGATATAGATTAGGCTTGTCAATATTGCAAATGAAGTGCGGTGTCGTACCTCGGTGTTTTCATACCTCAGTAGCTTCGGTGGTCTGTACTGTCAGTGTCAGCATCGTCTGGTCAGGGTTGTCCTGGCGCACTCCTGACAGGACCTCTACTCCGTCGGTGGTGATAAACTTTCGGCTGCGTGCGTAACAATCGGTACTCCCTTTATCTAGAGTGTTAGACCCCGTGCACTTGGGTCAACACAGGAGATCTCTGAGAGGCCCCGGAAACGACAGATGCAGGCCAGGTTTGAAATCAATCGAGCAGGTTTATTGTCAAATGTGAAGCTCTACCAGTTGGTAACAGAGATCAGTACAATGTTACACCACTGGGCACTATGGCCTGCATTGACAAGGTACCAACACTGGGCAGTATTGCCGTATAACAGATATTAACAGCAGTTAGTCAAAGTTAAGCTACTGTGCACTCTGTAAGTTCAGGCAATGACACCTGCCGTTCAGGTGCCTAGTGCGCTTCCCTCCTCCTCCCCCCTCCCCCCCCCCGGTCGGCCGGAAAGCACCCTCTGCGGTTTGCTTTTATAGACAGGGACAAACAAATTACATCATTTCTTTACC